TACAATGCAGCTCCCCAGGGCAGGACGCCATCTAACTTGCTTCCCACCAGCGCTCACCCACAATGCCTGCTACGTAGTAGGTGCTCAAAAATATTTGTGGAATAGAATTGAACTTGCTTAATGACAGTAGTCACAGCCCTCACAACATGTCTGTGGTGGATGAAGCTGAAACTGAATCGATTCTGACGTTGCTGCAAGTTCCCAGGGTGGGACGATGTTGGCTGCTTCGTCCTTGGGAGGGCATGGCAGTTGCCTGAGGGACAGCAGTGCCCTCTTCACTGGCCCTGTCTGTGGATCCACCACCACCTTCACCTTGGCTTAGCATTTGGTACCCAGAATATTCAGAAAAACATTTGGCCTCCCAAAACGCCACCCTACTTGGTCCCCAAACTCTACCAGCAGATTTGAACATCACTGGATTTGGGGCCCTCTGAAGTCCTCCCACTCTCTATATTCTGAATCTTTGATGGTGAATCCTTTGATACTAAAACTCTATAAAACCTCTTGAAGGTCTTCCTGCTACTGTTACTTTATCTGACAATTTAAAGCCAAAATGTTATTTCTCACCAACCCGGTTTCTTATTGTATAACATATGTGAGTTTATTGACAAATGGAGGCCATCTCCCCAGAAGACCTTCCTGATTTTGTCTTTCTCTCCCCTTTCTTGTACTTTGTAGCCAGTTGGACTTGAATTTGGGTTCAAATTCTGGCTTTGAAACTTCATGGCTGTGTGACTATGACTAGTTACCGTTATTTCATTGGCTTTTATTTATTGAGCCCCTAGTATGAGTCATGCATTGGTGTCTGTGCTGGGGTTACAGCAGTGAATACAACAGGAAAACATCCTTCTGTTCTTGTGGAGGTGACATTCTAAGTGGAGAAGGTGGGAGTCAAAACATTTCAACAGATACAGCAATGTGCAGTGCGCCGGGTGGCAATAAGCACGGGAGATGTGAAGCAAGGTCAGAAGATGGAGAGATACTCAGACATTTGAGGCAGATCATCCCAGTGGAGGGAAGATAGCCGTGCAAAGGCCCTGAGGTCAGTGTAGCCAAACGAAGAGTGAGGAGGGAGAGCCAGATCAATATGGCCTTTTGTAAGAACTTTAGCTCTAACTTTGAATAAAATGTGGAGCTATGGTAGAGTTTGGAGCAGAGCACGATGTGATTTGACTTAACAGGATTACTCAGAGTGTTAGATTAGAAATAGTCCAAAGGGGACAAATGTGGGAACAGGGAAACCAGAGAGGAGGATGTTGCAATAATCCTGGGAAGAGATGGGGGTATCTTGGACCCGGGGGGGCAGCAGAGCAGGTGTCAGAAGCGCTTGGACTCTGGGCATGTTTCGGTTTTTGAATAGACTCAGCAGTATTTACTGAGGATTTGGATACAGGATGTGAGAGAAAGAGAAAAATCCAGTTCACAGTGAATGTGTTGGAGCCAGCTGATGCCAGTTTGTGAGGGCAGATTGTTAAACGTCCAGGCATTTGCTGAGCCTATTATCATTAAGCTGCTGTCTTGAAACTGGCTATGGTGGGGATATTTACACCATGGAAATAGGCAAATATTACAAATCAGGGTGTAGCCCAGCCGTCGTCCCATTGCTGAGAAATTCAGCTGTAGAGCATTTACCAGCATCCCATGGGGCCAGAATAACTTCAAGGGGTTACTTAAAATCTTTTAATTAAATTTTAATTTTTTTTTTTTTTTGCCTGAGCAGATGGTAGAATGGATTACTCCTTACTGAGATGGGAAAGATGGAGTGAAATAAGTATCGGGAAGGACGATCTGAGTTTTGACTCCAGCTACATTTGGTTTGAGATGCCACTTAGGCATCCATGGGACTCAGTGAGGCAGTAGGTCAGTATAGTTGAATATAATAGCTGGAACTACCTTATAGGATTGCTATGGGGGACAAGTGATGACATTTATTTTTTACTAGAAATTCATGTTAGTAAAGACCTTACCATAGTAAATGCTCAATAATATACATTTCTTCATTACCATGATGAGAAGGGACTGTCATCACTACCTAGAGCAAGGGTTGCAGATTGGCGGCCCTCAACTTGAGTCCAGCCAGTGGACAGTTTTATTTGGGGGGTGGGGTAGGGAAGACTGTTACCTTAAAACATCACATTTAGGTGATGTAGATGGGTCATCACAGGGCTTCCACTCCATACTATTTCACACCAGCCCCAATTCCCATCTTTATGTTACTTGCCTGGCTCTGTAAGGGTTGGAGTTTGCACTACCCTAGATAATGGTGGCCGTCATTATGCAGAGGAGGAACCTGAGGCCAGAAGAGGCTGGTGTTGGGTCCAGGGCTATTGATGGCATGGAAAGGGTGAGCTGGGGAATCTCTCTGCCAGTCAATGCCACATTTAACGTCGCCAAACAAATGATCAGAAGAGAGAAATTCTGCCCCTGAAAGGTCCCTTCCTCCCTTCTGGATACTGGTGCCAGTGGCCTGGATTTGGGGAAACGTTAATTGCTTGGGTTTCCCAGATCAGCCGCCTCTTCGCGTGAGTGGTGGGAATAAAACCCAATCTGGTGTGAAGCTGAAGGTTAATTGAATATTTGATGCCTAGAAGTGATGAAAGCAGGAGTCCCATTTTCCTGTGTCCTCATCCAGACTCTGGCACCAAAGAGAGATGTGGGCCAGTCTTATTTAAGCAAACCCCCTCGAAACCTTCCCTCCGAGAAGAGAACAGCAGAGCCACATGCAGGAGAGGGGATCACAGACTGGCCTTGCTGTGGGTTTGGGGATGGATAACCCTCTGCCTGAAAGTCCAAGCACCCAGGAGTGGATTTCACCTTCTCTTGGCTGAAGACTGGGGTGGCTGCCCAGTGACTTCTGGGAGAGGGAATTTGTAAGCTGGGACTGTAAATTTATATTTATCATGAAGCTTCCTAGAGGATGCAGCTTCCAACAGGCACGGCTTTTGAATGAAGTTTTCTACTTGAAGGTTCACCTAAAAAAACCCCAGATCCTCTCTTTGACCCTTTCCTTCTGTAACTCCTCCCCAACCTCTATGCTCCAGCTATATTAAGCGTCCGTTGCGCCGCCGAGGTGGGGCATACTCTTTCATTTCCACTCTTTGAAGATGCTGTCTTTGTCATCTGGGACACTCTTCTTCCCCCTCTCGCCTGCCGACCTTCTCTTTCATCCTGGTGTAGACGTCGTCTCTTCCTGGGAGCCCCCCTGATTTCACTCCAGCACCCTCAGCTGCCGTCCTCCTCATCACTGGGGGAGGACACCACCTGGGGGAGGACACCACCCACAGGACATGGAGGGGAGACTTTTTTGTTTTCCTTATAGCTGTATCTCCAGCACTCGTCCTAGGGCTGGCACATAGTAGGTACACAGCCATTTTTCCCCCCTAGAGTTAAAGGAGACAATCCATTTCATGCTTTGTCAAAATAAATTTTACCACCCAAAGGACAACTGTGAGGACTGTGCGGGACTTAAAATCGTGCTTGGCTCATAGCAGATACTCAGAAAATACATCTTGAATGAATGAATGAGCATCTCCCTCCAGATTCTAGAAGGCCGAAAGGAGGGAATGGGGGAGAGAGGATGAGCGAGTGACCCGGGCAGTGGGTAGAGGCATAAAACCCCTGCTTCCTGTGGCCACAAAACACTGCCGTTCCAAGACCTCCATTACAGATGAGAAAAACTGAGGCCCAGAGAGAAGCCCAAAGCCACACAGTGGGGAGTGAAGAGGGTTGTTCCTGGGTTGGCCTGGCCCCAGGTCCACAAGGAGCTCTGGAAGTTTTTGACTCTGCTGGAGTAGGAGCTTCTGGGACAACCTTGGAGAACACTTCTGCAGCCTCTGAGAAACAACCTAAATCGCCAGTCACTAATAATTTGTGGGAACTGTCTAGTTCCCTTTCTCTCGCAAGATTCCTCTGCAGAGCCAGGCGGCCCTGAATTCTGTTTCCAGTCTGCTGGGTTTTGGCATTCCCCCCTCACCCTCAGCCACTTGGGTCTGCCAGGGAGTCTTTTTATTTTGCTCTCTCCAGACGCCACCATCTGTCTTTGTCCCCTTCTCACCCTCGTCTCACACAGGGCAGTGGAAAGAGCACAGCTGAGAAGCCACAAAACTTAGATCTCAGCTTTGCTACTCGCTAGCTGGGAGTTGTCCCTGCACTTCCGCTGTCTTATCCAGATGATGGGGATAATTGCCTTCCAGGCAGGATTCTACGTGAGAATTACCTAAGATATAAATGCTTAGACCAGTCACTGTTTTATCTGGCCCAGAACAGGTGCTTCCCTGCTTCTTGTGAATGTCATCCTCCTGGGGATGTGGGGGAATGTTCTGGATGGAGCATCTAATGGTTACTCCCTCAGAGTACAGAAAACACAGCCACGCAGCCAGGTTAAGTCCATTCATTAAACAGTTTTTCATTCAGCAATCATTTCCTGAGTCTCTACTATGCATCAGGCTCTGTGTTAGACCCTACAAACACATAAATGAGACCCTGACTGGTCTCATTGAGGGAGACAGACAGGAAAATAAACTATTGTAGCACAGTGGTCATGTGTTATAGTGACCCCCCTCTTCCTGGCCTCACTAAGCATTTGTGAAAATGTGTTTGCTCTTGCCACAGGGCCTTTGCACATACTATTCCTTTGGGATGCTTCACTCCGGCTCATCCTTTAGTTCCAAGCTTTAAGAAGCCTTTTCTGACCATCTTATTTATTTCAAATCCCCATTATAGTATCTCCTAGTACCACCAGCCTTTCCTCATATTTCTTGTTAAAGTTACTGTATGCAATTATATGTACACATACTCATTTAATATGTTTCCTCAGACCCTGAATTTCTCAAAGATAGGGACTAGGGCAGCATCTGCTGCTATTGTTGGTCTCACCAGTTATTTACATCCTTGACCCATCTTAGATGCTTAATTAACATTAAAACAAGAGCTATTTCCTCCCCAATCTCTTAAATATGGCTGGACTGGGAGGGGCGAGGTCACCCAGGATAAACACTCACAACTGGATATCTAAGAAGATGCGTTTTTCTTCGCCCACGTGGATCTTCCAGATACAGTCTTCACCTTCCACGTAAGGCTCTGGCCAGTTTGGGGACAGCACCACCCCAGCCACAGCAGAAAGCTCCCCACCACACATGGCTGTAAAAGACAGATAGATTTTGTTTGTATGGTGTAGTGGCTAAGAGTGTGGGCTATGAAGTCAGACAGTCGGGGATCTCCGTGTGTCGTGGACAGGTGTTTTCACCTCAGGCAGTCAGTGTGTGTATATGAATAATTAAACGAGAGCTGGCCACCTGCCTGTTCTTTAGATCAGGGTTGGTAAAAGTTGGGCTAAGTGTGCTGTGGCTCTTTCAGGACCAAGGGCAGAGCCTAAAGGTCAGACTGAATCCCCAACTGCCCTTTGCACAGGGCAAGTAGTGTGGCTAAGAGACACTGCACTCAAGTCAGGTGCCTGCCACCAACAGGCTTTAGGATAAGGCATGTAACTGCTCGGAGCCTGAGCTCCCTTTCTCTATAAAATTGGGGTAACTGCTGACTTCATTGGGTTATTTTGAAGCTCAATTGAGTTCATGAATGTCAAATGTAGAGCTCAGTGCCCGGCACATGGTAGTGCTCAGTCATTTAGATGCCTTTACTGTGACAGTTCCTGGCCCTGAACTGGAAGCAGAGATGTGGCCATGGCTGGTGCTTTTTAAATTCCATTTTGTGTTTACTGCTTTGGAAAGTTCTCAATGTGGCAGAGGCCAAAGTACCAATAAATTCCACTCTGTTAAACCAGCACATTTAATATAGGGATCAATCCCTCACCATGGCAAGGCTGTGATCATGCCAACTGCCATCCAGGCGGTGGCTGCCAAGAGCAAGAGCAGCCTTCATTATTCCATATGCCACCTGGAGACCAGCCTCAAGGTAGCTCAGTGGATATGGGCAAACAGGCAGGGAGGTACACCGGGGGCCTGTGAAGGGAAGGGCCCTACACTGCCAGCCTTGTCCAGAGTGTAGATCTCTAAGAACAGGGAGACCTGAGTTCCGTTTCTGTCTCTGCCAGTGACCTTGCTGTGTTCTTAGACATGTCACTCCATAGCATCAGTTCTTTTGTTTGTAAATGGGACTAATGATATCTGCTTTATAAGGTTGTGGAGAGGATGAAATCAGATAATGCACATCCAGCCCTTGGCAGAGTGCCGGCAGGGTAGTTATTACACACCAATTCACCGCTATTGTTAGTACTACGATTAACGAGATTCAGGACTGCCGAGTGCTGTTGGGTGGGTTGGCACCACAAAAGTGTGCGTGCAGGAGGTGTTGTGCAGGGGCTGACGTCCACGCAGGGTCCAAGATGTGCAGCACCCTTGGAGGAAGGAGCACCTTTTAAAGTTTATCAATTTTGCAATTTTCTCAAGATGAGTAGGAGCCCTGATCCAACTCGTAGTGTTGGGAAGGGTTCCAATCCCAATATTGGTATGAGCCCTGGAAAGGGTTCCAATCCCAATATTGGTATGTAAGTAGGGGACGTGTCTGTCAGCTGTGGCTTTAGTCCTCGCATCTGAAGGATAGAGTCCCTGGGAGAACGGCAGAGAGCCCACTCACCCCTGCACAGGGCAGAGTCCCTGGGAGGACGGCAGAGAGCCCGCTCACCCCTGCACA